TCAGGCAGTTCACAGAACAAAATCAAAATACAAAACCACAAAATACATAATCAAAATAAAAACAGCAACAACCCAATACACCCCCCCAATACCATAGTCACATCCATTGTCTTTGCTACTAGCCATACCCACCCTTAGCATGCTTATCCCGGGAGGCTGCCTATGAGGTATGTGGTCCTCAGGCTAAAAAAGGCTCCCGTCATAGAGCAACAGAATTCAAAAGTGCACTACAGAAAATACAGCCAACGCCCATTTAACGCGGGGGTCCCATTCTTGGCCACCACGCGCATTAGCAGAGTGTGGTATGTGTGCCCTGCTCCGTTCCACCCCGCCCCGCCCCCATCCCATCCTTTTTGTGATGTGTTTAGTGATGTTTTCGGTCGCTTCTGGTTTGGGCACCGTGCGCAACTGTGTCCTTCAGACACACGTTAATCCGTCGTTGCCTGTCAAGAAAAGCACGGCCAATTGTCTGGCTTTGCGGTTACAAATATAGGCTTGGAAGTGCGTAGGCAATGTCTGCTGAAAGCGCAACAGCCAGAGGACTTGCTGTAAACTTTGTACCTCTTTGTATGGCCAGAAATTCAGTTGAAAGGCAGCAGTTCAGCGGTAAGCCATTCACTTTACATGCAGGAAGGTGGAGCTTAATTCCTGGCATCTCCAGGTAGAGCCGCTAGAGAGTCACTGCCTGTCAGTGTTGACAATACTGAACTGGATGGGCCAATGGTCTATTTTATTTTAAGACAGCTTTCTATAATCCTAAAGGTGTTTCATATGCTGGTTGGAAAAATCAACTTTCTTTTTCACTCGCCTTGCAGAATTAATGGTTTGTGTTTTGAAAAAAACCTGAGGTGAGAATTATGATCCATGAATTCTCTGGAATTGGTTTTAATCAGAGAAGGAAAATAATTTTGGTTCTACCTACCCATCTATCAATGATCCTCCAAACCCACTTGTTTAGAAACAGAGATAGAAAGATAGGAGCTAAATGGCACCTTAAACCTAGGTTATGGGCGCAACAGCGGAATGTCTAGGCACACTTTTTTAAATAACAATAATACAAAGCTGAAAATGAACGAACTGCAGCTCAAATATTATGTTCGTTTTTCACATGGCCTGGTCCTTCCCCTGCCCACCCCCTTTATATTCTCAAAAGGGTCTCTTCCCCAGTCTTCAGAGAGTAGCTGGAAATGGGGAGGCAGAAAAAGGTCTTCCTTTCCTTCCACTCTGCAGTTTTAATCTGAAATCTTAGGTGCACCCAGAGCTCAGAAACTGCTCCCGCTAATTAAATTCCCTGTCGCAAAATGCACCTAGAACAATGGGAGTTTCAAACACTGCTCCAAACCCCTACCCTCCCTTTTACCTCACCTACCATGCTGTCCCTGGTGAGTCAGCAATGGCAAGAAGGAAGCAGAAAATAAGGTCTGTCTGCCCCCTCCTTCCAATACCTGATGTGTTCCTATACTACAAATAAGTAACCCTTGCTAAACACAGTCTCCTCATTGAAAGGCTACTGCAATGTCAGCAAATCAATTCAGACTAGAAATAAGCTGAGCCATTTCCCATTTTTTTGAGAAATAGCTTTATTTTATCAAATTTGAGTAAGAGGGAAGCTCAATACCCACAAACGTATACCAAGCAGAATGAGATATTTATTCTTGAACAACCCCTGTAATTTTTCTAAAGGCTTTTCTGAACATATTCTTTGCTCTAGAATTTCTTCTATAACGCTGCTGCTTCAAAAATTAAACAAGCTAATAGGCAGAAGAAAAAAGAAAAAGGGCAGCTGTGTAAAAACACTGTTCTCTATGAAAAGACAGAGAATGGTTGCTAAACACATGATCATAGTGCTGAGACATGAATAAGTATATGTCTAAAAAGAAAGCAAATACTAGAAATGTTTACTGTCCACTGATTTTAACTATCCAAGATCCTGACCCCAGTTCTAGCCCTGTCTCACTGATATTTGGGGTTAGTTTGATGAAGAAAGGTTAAAATGATAGGGTTATTTCATTAGTGATAAAGAATAATGAGCACTCACAATAGAATCCTCAAAAAAAAAAAAAAAAGTATTCCGCTCCCTTAGAAGTCTGAACACCTCTGCTCAATGAACAGCAACTCTTCATCTGCTAATTGGGGAATAGAGAGGTAAAGGTCATGTGCAAAAACAATAGGGGATATAAAAATAATGCATAGTAAAGGAAATTGCTACATCTTCCAATTGTCAAAATGACAGCTGCTAGAGAGAAATGAGGGTGTCAAACACAAGTATTCCCAAGGCTTCCAGGCTGGGTAGCAAGACATTGTGCCTGCTGGTACTATACTAGCTGATACTAGGGCCAACTGAACCATCCCTCAGTGAAAATAATAACTATTATTCCTTCTCTCTAGTGTTCTCTCCAAGTTTCTTGGGTCTTGCTCACATCTTACATTTCAGTACAATTCTCAATGGTATGCAAACACTCTGGAGAGAGTGTGGATTAGTCATCATGCAGCTGCACTTTAACTCACTGTGCCCTTGTGGGAGCACAAAATTACCATATACCACTCCAAAGAAGATAATGCATTTTCTGAGAAGTAGTACCCCCTTACTCTGTTATTTAACATTTCTCAAGCAGAGTGCAAGATGCTACAGAATAAATGTTAAATACAGTAATGTACTCTCCTATTCAAGAGCTCCCGTACGCACACTTAAAATAGTATTACCGTATTGGCTGGAATATAAGCCTCAGTTTCCCCCCAAATTCCGACCGTGAAAAGTTAAAGTGCAGCTTATATTTGCGACCTTACGGTATGCAGCCAGGAACGCGGGGCAAACAGCACCAGGAGTGGGGCAAAGCAGCGACCGCCCCGCGTGTAGTCCCCCAACCTCTCCCCCAAGGCCAGGAAGGGAGAGAGCGAGGAAGGGGAAAGACCACTGGCAATGCAGTGTGCCCCACCCCCAGTGCAAGCCAGGAGCAGTGAGGAATGGGGTGGCTTATATTCAGGTATTTTTTCTTTTTTCCCTCCCCCCCCTCCAATTTTAAAGATGCAGCTTATATTCGGGTGCGGCTTCTATTCAGGCCAATACAGTACAAAACACATAGGGCAAGATCCAAAGTTTATTGAACTGACTTTGAACTGCAACCCAATACAAACCTGGGAATATAGCTCATTAAATTCATTATGACTGACTTCTGAGTAGACATGCATAGGATTGCTGTTAATCTACGAGGTGCACTAACTCACAGAGTGTAGTGCTAGTTTCACCAATAACCACCTGCTCTCAAATATGTTTTCTCAGAAGTAAATCCCACTGAGTTTAATGGGATTTAATATATCCCTCATACATCTGGGATTAGGATAATCTCCTAACTCGGGAGGTGTGAAGTCTAGGCAGGCAAACAAATGCAATACATATAACCACATGTACACACAAACGCTCTTTCTCTTTCCTTCTTGCACAGATTTTCCATCCTGATGCATATCTGTTTCCCATACACAGGCACTCTCATGCGTATATTTTCCTCCTTGTGTAGACATACATAGCGGAGTCTGGTGTGTACATTCATACAGTGCATATGCTCCCATGTGTGCATGGCTGAGGTCATGAAAACAGGAAGACGTCCAGTAAATCTGACCTTGTGTGCGCAGTGAGGTATCAACAGTTCCTGTATCTAGAACTGGTGGTGATAGGCATGCCAGTTCTTTTCACGCTTCTGGGAACAAAGACCTTGCAGCTCTGGTTTCGAAATGTGGCTTCTATTTCAGTTGTAGCACAAGGAATGAAAGAATTTTTCTTAAAGTGGCAGCCAAGTCCCATTCCTACCCCTAAAATCAGAAGATGTCTAAAACATTGACTAAAATCTCTTCTGCCCAGGGGCGGCAGACACCATAAATACACCACTGCTGCCGGCACTGTCCTATTATTATATTTTATTCCTGTTTGACAAAAGTGGCTGACTATTGTCAATAGAGAAAAAGTTTCCAGGCTATTAAAGTGTATTCTCAGCATTTTTTTCCTTCTTTATTCCCTGCTTGGATCTTCCCCCAGGGTGCAGTTAAAGAATTGCGTTGAAAACCTAACGCACTCTCACAAGGCCTAGATTGTGAATTTTTTATACTCACAAATGGTTGGCATCTTCAGCAGTGCCCCACCCCCAATATTTACTTGTAAACTACTCTGTTTGTTAAGGCATGCACTAAAGTATAAGAAAAGAAGACCACATTATGTGTCAAATTAAATGTTGCTGATACATGCTTCAAGTGTACATGCAATGACGTTCTGTTATAGATCAACTGCTGGACAATAATACTTGCACACTCCCCGCCTGACAAACTGTTCTGCATTTTGTGTGAGACGCTGTAATGTTTCTGACGATCTGTACAAGGCCACACATTTCAACAAATTCTCCAAATTAATGCTGAGACCGGTTTGCAATGTTTTTGTTCAGTAGCATTCACTCTTGCTGATTGTATCCTAAATAATAAACCATGGCCTCAGGCGGTTTCCCCCAGAATGTTTATGATGAGAGCTCATTCATCTAAATCTACTGGCCAATGGAATAAAATAAATCAAGAATTTCCAAAATATAACAATATTTGTGTTCACTAGATAATTGATGACTGCAGCTGTGCTAATTAAAACCCATCTGAGTTTCATTAATCTTGGTCACTGGGTCCAATTGCTGTACACCACACCCAGATCACCAGACCAGCGTGTTACCTTTGCACTTATATTCCACTGTCAGGTTTTAATTTTTAAGATTTAGGATTATGCATATGTGTAAGAATGTGTGGGTTTAACTGTATAAATGCTAGGTTTTAAAAGAGCAGAAAGCATTTAACACCTAAAGGCTGGAAGCATATTATACCAACCAATTGCCCTTTCAGCTGCAATCCTGTGAATCTCAGTGAGATTTAGATAGGTAACTGCACGCAGGATTGTGAGCGATGTCCACAACAGAGACAACAGCACACATAAAAGAATCAGGTTCAAGTTGAAACTGCCAACCAGTTAGGAAGGAGCCATGGCTCAGTGGGAGAACATCTGCTTTGCATGCAGAAAGTCCTGGGTTCAAGTCTTGGCATCTCCAGGTAGGGCTGAGCGAAAACCCTGCCTGAAATCCTGGAGAGCCATTATAAAAAACAACCTTTCCCCATTTTGGGGGAGCTTGTTACAAACTCATCTTGATGCATTTCTTCTAGGTGTGACTTTTCCTCCTTTGTCCTCACAGTCCTTCGTCTTATTACTTACAGTTTCCACTGGCTGCAGTGACCCGTATGACATCACAGTGCTTCTTGGATGTGATGAAATCAAGGACACTGGTAAACAAAGTCATGTTGGCCAACATAGCCAAGAGTCTCAAAACAGCCGTGTGCCCAAATGAAGCGAAGGACTCTCTGGGCAGAGGAGGACCAGGGGGAAAAGGAAAATGCCCCAAGCAGCAGTACCAGCCATGGTGATGTACGGACATAGAATTGCAAGGAAACACAATATATATGTTCAGCAAGGCAAAGGCGCTTTTTTTTGGTAATATCGCAAGTTCAAATATCGCAATATTTGGAATACCCCTAAAACAATGTATTACTCGCAGTTCTCTGTGCAAAAATATTCATGTGCTTTTGTAAGCAACTGTGAAGCATGAAATTAAGGGTGAGGAAATTGTGGCCCTCCAGCCCACATGGCTCATGGCCAGAGATTAAGGGAGTTGTGTCTCAGCAACATCTGAAGGGGCTTGGCTTCCCCGCCCTTGCATGAGAGACACAGGGGCACAAGAGTGATGCAAAACAAACCTGGTAACGTGTCACAAGTTACCTGGGCATGGTTTGATTTTCCTCAGGCAAGATTGCTTGCACTGCATAAGTTGCTTGCATTAGGAAAAATGGCTGTGCCACAAGCAAAAGCCAGATCCACATGCAGAACAAATTCTGTGGGTCCTACCCTATGAATGTGCAATAAATTCTTCTATAATGCCATTAATAACAAAGAGGCAAGAATGATTTCCCCTTAATATTATTCCTGTGGCATTTTATTTACCAGTTTAAAAAGTTCCCCACTGGAGAAGGAACTATATCTTCACTAGAGAATTCCTAGGTAATGGCCACAGCATACACATATTTTTCTATATCAGACAACATTTTTATAGCTCTAGATATGCTTTGCTTGTTAAAGAAAAAGAAATGTGTCAAAAACTTGTGGCTCAGATAAATATCTACAGAAATAGCTATAACTAATGTTAGTAACTAAGCTGCCTTGCAGATCATAAATACTAGGAAATATAAATAACTCCAAGAGACAACTGTACAATCTATATTTGAAGAAAGGGGACATTTGAGTAATCAATCATAAGAAGCCAACACTGTCATAAACACAGCTTATGAAAATACTTGTAAACATTTATTAAATGTAAATTCCTCTTCAAAATGTATATTATGAGAGATTTCTATTTTTTTCATGCAAATTGGAACATGCAATACATAGTAGCTGATAAATGTACAACTACCTTCTTTCAGGATTTGTTCTTGTTGTACTATACATGTTTTTGTAGATATACACTTTATCTCTTAACTAATGTGATAAAAACGTATATTACTGGTGAACATAAAGCTTAGCTGTAACAGTTTCACTATCAACACCATTATATTCATTAGAACATACTGATGCCTCAGTGGGGATCTGTGAGCCAAATAGCAAGAAATGCCAATCTAAACAATTGTTAGCGTAATTAGACCCATTATTTATACAACTTCCAATGTTTACAATAAAGAGTTACAAGTGCTGTGTAACATTAATAAAAATGTGAACATGTGACGCCCTTCTGTCACATGCTTTCTGCCATAGAAAGGGCTAAATACTCATTCTAGATACATTTCATTTTACTCCTCCATCTATTTACATTTTATTCATTCTGATTACTTTTTGAGATCCCTGAGTCAAGAGACACACCTGGAAGTCAAAGCATAGACCTTCTAAGGCATACACCCCCCAAAAAGAATCTAAATCTTGAGGTTAAAGGTAAAGGTAAAGGGATCCCTGACCATTAGGTCCAGTCGTGACCGACTCTGGGGTTGCGGTGCTCATCTCGCTTTATTGGCCGAGGGAGCTGGCGTTTGTCCACAGACAGCTTCCGGGTCATGTGGCCAGCATGACTAAGCCGCTTCTGGCAAACCAGAGCAGCACACGGAAACACCGTTTACCTTCCCACTGGAGCGGTACCTATTTGCTTGCACCTTGTGCTTTCAAATTGCTAGGTTGGCAGAAGCTGGGACCGAACAACAGGAGCTCACCCCGTCGCGGGGATTCGAACCGCCGACCTTCTGATCGGCAAGTCCTAGGCTCTGTGGTTTAACCCACAGCGCCACCCGCGTCCCCCAAATCTTGAGGTTACCAGTGCATGAACTACAGCAGTCAGGCTTTCCCTGCTAAGGAATGCTGTAGGTGAACCAGACATTGCTGGTAAAAGGCACTCCTAGCCACAGAGGACACTTGGGCTTCTAGTGACAATGGTGTATCCAATAGTACCCCCAAGCTACACACTTGCTCCTTGAGAGAGTGCAAACCCATACAGAATGGGAAACCTGCCTATCACTCAGCCACTCAAAGAGCACCCATCTTCCTAGAATTCCTAGAATTCAAATAGAGTTTATTATCCCCCATCCAATCCACCACTGTACTCACACACCAATCCAGAGCTTTCACAGCGCTCCTGGCTTCAGGTGTTACTTATAGAGAAGTAGAATTGTGTGTCATCGGTGTACTGATGACCCCTTGCTCCTAATGACTACTCCCTAATGACTACTCCCAATGGCTTCATACTGATGTTAAATAGCATTGGGGAACTCCCTAACACAGCTGTCAGGGTGCTGAGGAGCACTTACCCGGTGCTACTCTCTTAACAAAGTCCCAGAGATAAGAATAAAACCATCGTAATATGGTGCTTCCAATACCCATCCCACCAAGTCGGTCCAGGAGGATATCATAGTCAATGGTATCAAAAGCTGCTAAGAGATCAAGCAAAGGTCATAACAGGGTCATAATTCCCCAGTCTCTCTCAAGATAAAGATCATCCATCCGGGTGACCAAGGCTGATTCAGTTTCAAAGTAGCCCAGCTTGTAAAGGATGTAGATAATCAGTCTCATCCAGGAATACCTGTGAGTTCTATTATTTTTTATTTATTGAATTTATATGTCACTCTTCATCCAAAGAGCTCAGGGCAGTTCCCAAGATAAAAACACAAGATAGAATCACAAAATAAACAGTTAAAACAAGAACAAAACCTGTAACCCCACCTCACACAAACACATTTAAAAGACCATAGAATACTAATCAGACAAAGGCCTGGTTAAAGAGGAATGGTTTTGCCTGGCGCCTAAGGATGTATAGTGAACATACCAGATGAACCTCCCTGGGGAAAGCATTCCACAAACAGAGCCATCACAAAAAAGGCCCATTCTCATGTTGCCACCCTCCATACCTCGTGGAGGAGGCACAAGAAGAAGTGTCTCAGATGATGATTGCATATTCTGGATCACATTACCTACAATGCTCTGATGGTGTTTCCTGCTTGGCAGGGGGTTGGACTCAATGGCCCTTGTGGTCTCTTCCAACTCTATGATTCTATGATTCTATGATTCTATGATTCTATGATTCAATGTACCTACAAAGGGTAGAACTCATACTTGTGGTCAGTGCTTTTTTTTCTGGGGGGACGCAGGGGTACGCATACCCCTAAACATTTTGTGAATCTAAGTTTGGCCTTGTTGTGGGGCAGTATTTCAATATGAGTAGGAAAATGAGAGTACCTCTAAACATATTTTTTTTAGAAAAAAGCACTGCTTGTGCTATTCCTACATCCTTTCATTGTTGTGTCAGTCCACCTATAAGGTTAAGACACTCAATACTGTAATCCAGTTTGTATGACTGCTTCTCCAGTAATTTTAATATGTTCTTTCATTCTAAAATATGAAAATTTAACTAAGTTATTGACAAAGATTCAGTCTGTGATTTATTTATTTTTAAGCGCTAACTCCAAACTATACCTCTCTACATTTCTTGAAGAAAATATATGTGCCTAATAATAGTGTTTGCTCTCACCATACATAGTCAGGAAAAACTATGCTTAGCAAATAACTTATGGAACTTACTTTCATTAGCAATAGAGAAAACATTCATTTGCATTATGTCAATTGACTCCTCTTTCATTCACATATGCAATTTTCATTAAATATCTGCAGGAAGCATATATTTCAAAGAGTTGCACCTCCAGTGAAGTTGTGGCGTTTCTGGTACTGGCCACAAAAAAACAACGGCAACAATGAAAAATATTATTTTACTGACCTCACTTTGAATTCATGAAACTGTAATCATTTGATCTGACATTTTTAATAAAAGTAATTGTTTTATCCAAAGCACGGACAGCTGAAAAATTAAGAAGTTCAATAAAAGGAGACTAAATTGTGAAAGGTGAAGTGGGAGTGAGGAAATCTGTGTGTAGACATTTAAACATACACCTTGTGTCTAGTACAGTGAGAAAGAGGGGGAGACCACACAGATATGCATATGTATTGATGTGTGTGTGCATTTATGATCTCAGCCCACATCAGCCACAGTCACTGTGTCTTCTTAATCAAGCTACTATATTTTAGTCCTTTTTTTAAAAAAAAAAAAGGAATAATGGCTAACTCTTAGACTTGCTGAGGGAATTAATTGGTGCAAAATCCCAAAGATTTCTGCAGTCAGTGGGAGAAACCCCTTGTCAGTTTCACATCTCTTTTAGATAAGGGTCCAGGTTAAAGCAAGAAGAAGCTGCTTTTTCCATTGACTTCAGATTTCTTGCATTTATTTCCCCATTCTGTGGAGGCTCCCAAACTATCTGTGGTACCCAGTGTTCAAAAAGGCCACATGTTCTCACTCCCTTGCGCTGGAGTTTGCACTTGTTTACTAAAAGTGAAGGGATGGACAGCAACGTAGCTAAAGCACCAAACATCTATGCAGAGTGGAACCAACATCCAACAGTATGGCTACTTCTTTCCTTTTCAGCTACTGTATACAGACATTCCATCAAGCTACTGTCACTCAGTCCTATTGCGCTC